GAGAACATGTGTAACATATAAAAGATGAGGTCTATCTGCTATCTTAATAATTAACATAAATATATATGCATTGGCCTCTATCCCTTTCATTATAAATTAAGATATTTACATATATACATGCCTCTATAAATAATTTTTGCCTCTGATTCCTTTCCTCTATCTACTTTCACCTTCCTTCTATCCCACTAGCATGCTCTCCCTCCATTTGACTCAGTAATTCCTCTCGGAAACATTGCACTTGATTAAACCCCACCAGGCATTATAGGCTCTCCTTTTCACCAATTTTAGATCACTTGTTGTTCCCTTATCTCTGAGCTTGTTGACTACCCAAATCTCCTCCCTGCTCCATCCTCCCCCAAGTCCCCCTGGAACCGCTGGCCCATTGTTTTCTCCTCCAGGTTGTTTGTCCTACCCATCTTACATAGATAGACATAGAGGGAAAGAAAAGTACAAACAAAAACAAACAAACAAAAGGCTGACCTTTCTGTATGTTTTCCACTCAAGTGTGATGAGGTGCCAAGCCCTGTGCCCCAAGTCAGAAGCCTATTTTCAGGATTCCTGGGGACTTGGTTACTTTGCTCCCCTTGCTGCCCTGTTGCTCTCCCTTTGTGTTTCACTCTAGTGTGCATGGGGCTGACCAGGCACCCTTTCTGCACAGCGTCTCCAGTGTTAAAGCACTTTCACAAGTTGAAAGGAATGCCAAACAAAGGCATTCTTCCAGTCAATTCTCTACTGCTCATCTGAATTTGCAACATCTCTGACATTCTGACTCTGATTTTGTCTTGGTTTTGCTTTTTAGGTGCAATATGGAGTCATATATATTACAATTCATATATATATTATAATTCATATAATAATAAGTCGTATAATTACAAATTGAGAATTGGGCCACTTTGCTTCTATCCTTACCTTGGCCATTACTATCCTGGAGAAGTCAATCCCCACTAATGGTTGTGATTTGGGAGATGCTACTTCCCCACCATGGACCATAGTTTCATCTGAAAACAATAGTGTGGCTATGTCCTTGGTACCCAAAGTACAGTTTTTATACAGACAACATAAATATTGTCATAGTATATTGTGGAAACTAGGGCCTCACTCAGATCTACTGAATCCGAATTGGCATTTTAAAAGAGATGCTACAGTGATTAGTATTCAGAAAAAAAAGATTAAGAAATACTGAGTTAGATCAAGTGTAGATCTCATTTTGTATCCAAGAAATGATGCTTACTGAATTTCAAAAGTTTAGATTATAAAAGGCCTTGCTTGGCCCAATGTAATTGGCCTTCAAGAAAATGGAATTGGCTTCTTTCACTTGAACCTCTTCGCTACTAAAAATGCTACACCTTTAGTCAGAGATCTCCCTGGAGGGCAGGGTGATATTCTGGTCGTCTTAGTTTCATATTATCAGTTACAAAAATATGAATGTCAAATAAAGAAAAAAGGAAAGAGAAAGCATTCATAATAGCAATGAGATGCCACTGATGGAATGTTTACAGATGTACGACACTGTATTATGCACTTCTACCAAGCTCCTTTAATTTAAACTTCATTATAAACAAAGTATTTTATACCATTTTAGAGATGCAGAAATTGACCATTAGAGGTTAAGATACTTTAAATATACATATGCTATTAGTGTAAAATATATATACCCTGTAAGTGGTAGGAGTATGGAAACTGTGGTTTGTGTAACTATAATGCTCATCTTCCAAGAGTGCGTGGACATGCTCAAGAAATATTCATCATTCTAAATTTGGTTAAGCTATCAATTGCATTTTCGTCATCAATATGCACATGCCATTAAGGTGGGCTGCTAACCTTGGGGTTAGCAGTTCAAAACCACTAGCCGTTCTTCATGAAAAAGATGACCTGCTTTCCAGCAGTCATAGTCTGGTTACCCACTGACTGGATTCCAGACTAGAAACCCACAGGAGTCGTGCTACCCTGCCCTGGAGCATGGACATGAGTTAGAATTGACCCAATGACAATGAGTTTTGTTTGGGGTTTATCTACCACTTTCTGGTAAAAACCCCTTACACCGTGTGTTTGCTCTGTGGGAAAGGAAACCCCAAGTGCTTTGGGAGTGTGATCCTCACAGTTCCAAACGAGCCCTTGCATCTACTTTAGATTCATGAGTGAACATAGAAAAGGGTTTTCACTCACAAGCTCTTGAGAACTTATGAGTTTTTGGTTTTTGCTATGTACCTGATGGAGAAGATGCTCTGCACATCAATGGGGTCAGTCATTGGAAACTCTCATGAAGGAGCCATACATTCCACGGTGTGTGATAGAAAGAGCTTTTGGACAAGCAGTCGGAGGATCCCGAGTCCAGCCACAGTTCTCTCACACATATTGTGTGACCCGAAGACTTCACCTATTCCTCGGAAACTTCGATATGTTAGCCCTGAGAGCAAAGGTGCTAAGATTTCTGTTGACTACCTCAAGCAATATATGTGGGAGAATTGCAGCTGGATCCAAACATAGAAAATACATAAATTTACTTTATAAGCATTTATACCTAGACAAAGGCCCATATTACCACCACCAACCTGCAAAAAATATTCATTTTTGGTGGCTTGAGACAGGTTGAATTTAGCTAAGTGGCAACTACATTTTCTAGAATTATATTCCCTGTATGTTTCTATCTTCAATTTGTCCACAAGAGAGATTTAAGTAGGATTTGAAAGAAAAATGAAACATCAGCCATTCTACATACAGAACATTGATGCATTCGATGAGCACTGTGGAGGTTCAAGTTCAGAGCTGTTGATCCAGTTTCACTGATATCCTCTAGCAGCACCTGTCCCACAGCTTGTTATGTTTATAGGAACCATATTTCTGGGCTGAGTATATGTGCAGCTAAGTGGTGAAAATTCCCAGAGTCTCCTGTATGTCTCTTGCATCAACAAGATTGGAGTTTGAGGGCGACAGAAATGGATTTGAGTTTTGCCTAATAGACTCCACTTAGCCACGAGTCATTCCAAGTTGCCTTCACAGACTCCAGTTTCATCTCATTCTCCCTGAATTCATTACTATCAATTGATCGGCCTATAGCAACCCTAGGCCCATCAACTGATGCAAAGAAAACAGCTTCAAATGATGATTCTCTTCATTGACATAACTCATGACTACTCTTCTATCACCAAACTCTGATTTATGCAACATCAATATCAAAGATAAGAAAACATGAGAGATGCGTTGATTGCCTCGGCAGCTAAATCTTAAAATATTCCTTTTCAAGGTCAATAAATACCATGTACTTTTGAAAGAAAACCATATTTTTTACACATTTATGAAGTACCCATACAAACATACACATAGCATATTACCTAGCAAAGCACTTTGCATGTAGAAATAACTAACTATAATGACATAGGTATATGTATTTTCAAGAATACTACACAAATAGTCACTTTAGTTAAAGCTCTATCTTAACCAAGGAGTCATTAGTTACAGCTTTGTCACAAAACCTTGGTCTCCATTTATTTATGAGATCGAAGTGAAAAATATTTTTTCCAACAAAGAGATGGTCCTTATACACTTGAAAATGAAATGGTCTTCATTGACATAGTGCACAAACCATGATTCTGGCCCTCAACTGAAAGTGGCCTACAATCTCACCACTATTTGCTAACAAAAATGTTGAATAGGAGGGAGATCAATAAACAAGCAGTAGAGCTTGAGAGAGAATAGCACTACAAATCCATGAAGCGCTTTCCATTTGATCCCAATGCTACTGTGGCAGTTACATAGTCTCCTCTCAACTTGCCAAGGAGTGTACTCTAGCCTGTCAATCAAGTTGCAGCTTGATGACCTCATTTGGAGGCATGACAGAGATAAATAGCTCACTGAAGGCCAGACACACTCTCTCTGATTTGCCTTTCTGCTGACAAGACCCATAGAGCTATGCTGATGGAGCCAGAGTCCTGGAGCTGGAGGAGCCAATGTGGAGACCCATGCCAGTGCTGAGATGCTTCTACTGCCACTAGATCCACAAGACTTTCCACCTACTGGCCTGTGATCTTCCTGCATTCAGCATCATTACATGTGTTGCATGAGTCTGAAGAGAAATGTATAGACTGGTATAGGATATATGGGCTAATATGGGACTTATGGACTTGATCTGGACTAGGTTGGGATGTTTTCTTAATGTACAATTGCTCTTTGATATAAAGTTCTCTTCTACACACATATAAGTGTCTTTGAATTTGTCTCTCTAGTGAAGCCAGACTAACACAGCTACAAATCTAATTAGATTTTATGTCCAGATACATACCCCCAGATATATAACCCACTCATTTGTCACTTTCCTACTTCCAATGCATGTATCGCAGAACTCAGTACCAGGCTGCTGCTATTATGGGCTTGGGATTAAAGTCCCTGCCTCCACATTGTAATACCAGAATTTCAAAGAATACCCAAGTGGTTGAGTTCATTCTCAGCAACTCTTTCTACTCCAACACCCCATGTCTTTTTTAAACATACAGCCAGGACCCTCCATGGGTTAGCTCAAAACTTTCCATTACAGCTGTGCTTTTCTCCACTGGAAACCAGTTCTCTGAGAAAAGGTGTAGCATGCACAAGGAGGTAATGATCTAGGGTGGTTAGCAGACTTGCTTCTCCTAGATAGATAAGGGTTTGGCACAATGCTGAACACTTATTGATAAATGAACTTCCATTATCACTCCTCTGAGACGAACATACACATTTATATGCACACATACATACACTGGAGATGCTTTCAAAATAGAAACTCAGACTGGTTTACCCGTGTAACAAAGTACTTCCGTGACATGTAAGACTTGTGATAAGGATTGGGGTAGAGCGTTGATTCAGTCACACTCGGTTGCCTTGAAATCAGCTTCGGTGCTGAGTCCTTGCCTGGGTCCCCCTCCTCTGTGGACAAGCGATCAGTCTCAGAGGGCTGCTCTTCGACCTCTTGCTTCAGAGACACTGGCTGGAAACCTTCAAAACTTCCAATCATCGACATTTCTTCAGCCTAAAAGAAGATAAGGACAATCTTTTGAGTAAAAACAACACTCTGTGCCCATGCTATAATAAAATGTTATTATAAAACAGGCAAAGATTACTAACAGATAGTCCTAAAACTGACAATCTTGCCATATACGAACAAAATGGAGGCCCTGCTAGATGCACCTTTCTAGCACGTGGTGGCACTCGGGAGCCATTGAGTCAGTTCGAACCCATAGCGCCCCGATGTACAACAGACAAAACATTGCCCAGCCCGGGGCCACCCTGACATCGTTCTCATGTTTGAGCCCATTGATGCAGCCCCTGTGGATGGACCTTCCTAACATAGGCTCCTCAATATCAATCGCGATTCCATACAACCATTTCCGCAGGGTGCAGGACGGACGGCAGCAAGGACCACTTGAGAAAGGAAAGAGGAATCTGCAAGTTACTCCAGGTCTTATTTTCAATCCAGGGAACAAAAGGGGGAGCAAGGGACAGCAGTCACCTATCAGATCATTTCTTGCCACAATGTCATCATCGTTTTGCATGAAAACCCACCAGCCTTCCTATATACTTAAGGATGAAGAAAATTGGAAATGCACCTTCCCCCTTACTTCTTGGATTCATCTAGAGCAGTCAAGGGCCACAAAGGCACTGAAAAGTGGGGATAACTTTTAACCCCAAGTTCCCAATTCTAAAAAGGTGCCCTAGGGATCTTGATCATGGCAAGCCATCCCAAATATATTGTTGATGGGTAAAGGAAGTAATATAAGATTATAAATGGTGATGTTCAATTTTGCTAAAATAATTGAGAAAGAAAAGGAAAAAGGGTGAAGCGAGAAGGAAACAAGATGCTGGATCTGTACGTGTGTGCATGATTGTGTGCGTGTGTGCGTGTGTAAAGAGAGAAGACAGAACCTCCAGCGAAGCTATGGTCAAGCACCTGGTTTCTAATGAAAATTCTAGGAGTTTGGACCTACCCAGCCTATGCAAAATGCAAAGACCTGGTAATGTTTCTGTAAAGATTCCATTTTAGAAGCATTATGAGGCAGTCCTTCTCAGTCAAATGGGGCTTATATGAGTCAGAATCAAAGAAATAGTACCTAATTGCACTAATATATATTACCCTTTTCTAAGTTTTATCCCAGCCCATACACACACACACATGCACGCGCGCACACACACATACACACTAAGGAGCCCTAGTGTCACTGTAGATTAGGCTTTGGGCTGTTAAGTGCATGCTCAGCTCAAAACCACTAGGTGCTCCTCAGAAGAAAAATGAGGCTCTCTGCTCCAGTAAAGATCTGTAGTCTCAGAAAGCCTACATCGGATCACGGTGGCTCTGAACTGACTGAATGACAGTGAGTTTGGGGTATGTGTGTGATACAGTCCTCTGTAATGGAGTGGAACACAAAAAACACACAGCGTTGACACATCCTATGCTTACCTTGTATGTTGTTTTGTTGTTGTTAACTGTCACCAAGTTGATTTCAACTCATGGCCACCCAGTGTACACCCGAATGAAACACTGCCCAGCCCTGCACCATCCTCGCAATTGTTGTGTTCCAATCCAAGGATGCTGCCGCTGTGTCAGTCCGTCTCATTGAGGGTCTCCCACTTTCTCACTAACCCTCTGCTTGACCCAGCATCATGTCCTTTCCCAAGACCTGGCCTCTTCTGCTAACATATCCACAGTGTATATGAGATAAAGCCCCCCCATACTGGCTTCAGAATGAAAAGTTCTGGCTGTGCGTCCTCTAAGACAGAAGCCTCAGGCACTGTCGCGGTACCCGAAGGAGCAGTGA